AAATATAATAATACAATCGTAAATTGGAGCCGTGGATGTCACTCTTGTGAAACGTCCCGCTCCAAACTTTACATGTACATTAGGTCAGCTGGTATTACCCCCCATTTTCACCGCTAGAGGCGCGAGCGAAAGAGCAAATTTGGAAATAACACGACGGAGATATTCGGGATAGAGACCTGAAATTTTCACAAAAGTTTTTTTCCAGATTCTACTTCATATTCTGTTAAAATTTCAGTCAGGTTAGTTACGTATTGTGGACGTGTATAGTTGACAAACATACATACATACGCTGACTTTTATATATATATGGATAATAATATAAATGAGTTTTAAAAATTGTAAAAAAAGAAAATGCATCGGCCGGGAATCGAACCCGGGCCGCCCGCGTGGCAGGCGAGCATTCTATCACTGAACGATGCTTATAAAAATGGCCATATTTGGTTATTCATTCCATTCACAAAAGCAAACGATGACATAATTGATTGTTGATGACTCTGATACTTGTATATAGAATTGTTTTCAAAAGGTTTTTAAAAGAAATTGGATTATTAATTTGATTACAACTATTAAGTATCATGGAGTTATAGCTCAGTGGTAGAGCATTCGACTGCAGATCGGGAGGTCAGTGGTTCAAAACTGCGTGCCCCCTACTTTTTTTTACAAGTTACCAAACGGGGCTCTGGCACAGGTGTAGACATGTGGTGCACTTACAGTAAAAGCAGTCACCTACTTCTACCCACCATGATTATCGTGGCCTGTATCACGTGTACTAGGGATAAGCAAAATAAAAGTCTCAAGATATAAAATGCCAAATATATATAGTGTTTTTTAATAATTTAATTTTAAAATGAATATTTATATAAGTGTGTTTTAATTTAAACTAATAATTAATAGTAGGTTTTATAAAGACTATACTTGGTTATATGTATCAATATGCCAAAACTGGTGTTATTATAGGTACATAAATTTCATCTTTCCGCAACACTATATTATACACCCATACCTCGCTTTGCGTCGGGGTTACGTTAAAAAAAAGCACGACGTAATTTGAAACGACGCAAAGTGAAAATATGTGAAGGTGCAATCAAAAACAAAGGTGTTGCCATATTTTAGGAAAAAAATTTTAAAAAAAATAATAATAATTAAAGACTCGAATCCAAAACAACGCAACTTCGAAAATATAACGACGCACAGTGAAAATCAGTAAAAATTAAGCAGCGACGCAACTTCGAAAAAAACGCAAAACGAAACGACGCAAAGCGAGGTATTGGTGTACATATATATGTAGGATGTATATAATACCTTGTTATTACTAATTGTTACCTTTTGATATATCCTGAAATAAGTTAACATGGGAAGATAAAAAGCTTTCAAGGTCTCACAGCGAGCCCTCATACTGTATACCAGGCTTTGGAGGAGGTCCAGGGGTAGTAAACCCCACTCCTCCAATAGAGCAGTTCTTAGCTCAACGAGGGTTCTGGGAGAGGGGTGACGAGCTCCAATACGCCTCCCTAGAGCATCCCACACATGCTCTATTTGATTCAGGTCCGGAGATCTGGCTGGCCAATCCATCCTTCGAATATTCTCACTCTGAAGATATTCATTGACTAGCTTAGCCCTATGCGGACGAGCATTATCGTCCATAAAAATTAAATTGTGACCAATTTGATCTCTATAAGGTCTTGGATAGGGCTCAAGGATCTCGTCCCTGTACCTTTGAGCAGTTAAAGTGCTCCCAGAAAAATGTGAAGGGGTGTGTGTCTGCTAGAACTGATGTCAGCCCAGACTAAGAGACTGCCCCCTCTAAAACTTTCTATTTCCCTGATGTTACTGGGATGATAGCTGGTTCCAGGCTCCCTCCAGATGAAAACTCGTCGAGAATCTGTGTTTAAACTAAATCTTGACTCGTCACTGAAGAGAACATTGGCCCACTGATCATGAGTCCAGGCGTGATGTTCCAAGCACCAATTCAAGCGGGCTCTCGTGTGAGCAGAGGTTAAAGGGATACAGACCATTGGTCGTCGTGCATAAAGAGCACCTTCGTGAAGCCTTCAGTAAACAGTTTGTCTTGAAATTCTCGTTCCAGTAGCACTTGAGAGTTCATTAGAGAGTTGAATAGCTGTCATCTCCCTATGGCGCTTGGCAGTTACGACCAGATAACGGTCTTCAGAGGTAGCTGTTTTTCTTTTCTACCAGAACCTTCTTTTCTTTTGATGGTTCCTGTCTCAATGAACAGTTTCCATTTTTTGCTGACCACAGATTTATTCACATTTAGCCATTTTGCTACTTCAACTTGTGATTGCCCTGCCTTCATTCTTCCAACAGCTCTCCATTTTAAATCATCTGCTAAATTTTTCGTAAACTCATAATTAACTAAGGATTAAATAAAATTATAACTGGACAATTTTTAGATGGGGTAAACGACACGCCAAATTGCACACTTATAAAGACAAGCAAAATTTTGCATAATTTCAATTTTACCGAATCGAATGGTTGCGATAAATAAATTCTACGACTTAAAATACCTAATTAAATTACTTTTTAGCTATTAGCGTTGTATTTTAAAACATATCATTAAAAAACAAAAGTGTCTTATTTTTTGGACACCAGTGTATATTATATATGAAAAAATAGTACAAATGTGATATTGTACTGGGATAAGGTGCATAAATTAAGAAAAAAGGCATCTCCTTATCGTGCAACTGGAAGTTGCTGATGGCTTGCGTCATCTATCGGAATAAATATCAACTATTCTCGTTGATTTCTAATTATTCCAGAATTGGCCAAATACCCATTCTTTATTAATCAAGAAAAGATAACCACGGACGCGTTTCGGGCTATCGGCCCTCATCAGCGTGGTGTGCAAGCTGTACCTCAACGACCAAAAAAATTGGTCATTAAGGCATCCTGAAAAATCATGAAACACGTAGTTAAGGTCAGAATTGCGTGAGACCGCGACACAATGTGGAAAAATAGTACAAATGTGATATTGTACTGGGGTAAGGTGCATAAAATAATAAAAAAAGGCATCTTCTTATCGTGCAACTGAAAGTTGCTGATGGCTTTGAGGTACAGCTTGCACCACGCTGATGAGGGCCAATAGCCTGAAACGCGTCCGTGGTTGGCTTTTCTTGATTAATCAGATTGGGTATTTGGCCAATTCTGGAATAATTAGAAATCAACGAGAATAGTTGATATTTATTCCGATAGATGGCGCAAGCCATCAGCAACTTTTCAGTTGCACGATAAGGAGATGCCTTTTTTCTTAATATATTATATACATATTCTTTTATAATATGTTCATAACTGTTTCTGTTTTAAATTGTAAATCAACGCTATTATCCTTTACCGAGATATCGCGTTTTGTTTGTTGAATAAACTAAAATAAAATGAAAATATTCCATATGACGTATATATAATTTACAGAAAAAATAATAATTTTATTGATTATTGGAGAAAAAATCCTTCTTTTGTTAGTTACTAAATGAAATTAAATTTTAATGAACTCTATTTCAACAATAGATCTCTATCGAACATTATTTCGTTTAAATTTCTTTAATAATTTCAGAAAGAATTTAATATAAATTTCTCTTTGATGTGTGTTCAGGGAATAATAGCCAATTATGTTTGACGAACTTGCTCTCTTTCCTACAAATGAGAGCGATTCGTAGAGTTTGCCCACACACCAAAATTTTTAAATAATATAAAAAGGCACAAATAGTACATTGATTTCTAAAATTATGAGAAAAAGTGCAAAATGTAAATCTATGATTATTTGACTCATTGAAATTTTCATTTTTTTATCAAGATATTATAGTCTATGAAATATAAACATCATTTATATCAATTTATTCATCATTACCATTTAAAAAAATGTACCGGGGTGAAATAAAAACCGCTCATATCTCACAGATTGTTCAAGAATCTCGTTCTTGTAGCTTAGAACAGCCAACGTGCATCTTTGAAACTACGTCTCTTCCGTAATTAGACCAGCTAAGCCTATTGAAATCAAGTCCTACTTATTATATATCTTATGTTCAGTGCGACATATAATAAAGCGCTAACCTTTTCTGTATCACTAACAAACTTACTTTTTTGACCATCCAATCAGACAAAGAACACAAACAGTGTCTAGGTACGGTATACAAATTTACTAATGGACAAAACTTAAGGAAGCTGTACCTTCCAGTATGCATACCGGGAATGTTTAATATTGTGGCGAAGAATATTTTAATATTTTATTATTTAATTTAATTATTCAATGTAAAAATTCAATACAGATTATTGATATGAATTTTGAAATCATCATACATGGTCCTTACCTTACTTGTTAAATAGTTTCTAGCTGTATATTGTTGTTCTGGGGCATGGTTGATAGTTGCCGATTAGTCGTACTGATGCCACCAATAAATTACATCTTAACATATTTAAATACTCGTTTTCTACGCTAAAATATTTCAATGTTATTACAAAAGAACCTGGTTCTAGGTTCTTCCAATATAGATTTGTAGACAATCGGTGTTTAGCTTGAATCTTGGCTCTACCCTGAGCCTCGGCACAATGTTCACGGCAACAATTCAAGCCAGCTCCCATTTGAAAAGGGATATGAAGGAACAACCCCATTGTTGTCGGTTTCACCGAATTGTTTTCACAGCAGACAAAAATAAATTTCTGATAACAATAGGCCACTTAGCATATCTTTTGTATCGATTTACTTCCATTCATCGAATTGTTCAACATCATATCCTTTATTTTAAAAAAATCGAAATATAATAAAAAATATAAGAACTTGAAATAATTACAGAACACAATGAGACAAAACATAATATATTCATATGTTTCATTTAGATAAAACATTTAAAAGAGAAAGTCATTTTATGAAAGAACTAGACAAAAAGATATTCGATACACACGGTTAAATATAAGTAATTATTTTCAAGGCCCAAATATAACAATAGTTTTATCTTGAAGATGCATTTTTTTATATTACTACAGAAGTCTTTTGTCCTCTTTAGGAGAAAAAATAAATAACCAATATGGAGAGGCACTAAAAATATGTTTTTTAAGAACAGTGTATAGATTTATTAATATGTAAAAAGGGTGTTTTAGAATTCTTCGATATATTTTAAACACAGAATATATTTATTGAATATGGTATTATAAAGCACCAAGGATAGAAGGTACCCCTCCTATGTTCACTGTTGACTTAATGATACGTAATAATATTTAAATATCGCTAAAAGAAAATTTACAAATCATAAATATGAGGCAGAATTATATATTTCTATATTAAATGTGATATATATTATACAGTCTACTTTCGTTATAACGCCACCATCCGGATTTTGCAAAAAAGCGGCATAAGGCGAGGGTGGCGTTATATCGAACACGTTTAAAAATGTGAAATTTAAAGATGCAATAAATTATTTATAACAATTAATAATAACAATTTATACTCTAAGTCAATATATAGAATGCAAAACCGGAATTAATTAATTAATATGACAAATAGAAAGCATTAATTTATAATTTTATTCATAAAAAAGTAATTACATTTTCTTAAGAAGTCTGTGATCACAACTTGTGTTTTCTTTTCCTCACTTATGGCATAGACACGGCGTCACAAATCCGCAGATAGATTGACGTTGT